AGGGCCTGCTCTCTCTGGGAGAATATTCTGGTAGTGTGAAGTGTAGGGTCTGCTCTCTCTGGGAGAATATTCTGGTAGTGTGAAGTGTAGGGCCTGCTCTCTCTGGGAGAATATTCTGGTAGTGTGAAGTGTAGGGCCTGCTCTCTCTGGGAGAATATTCTGGTAGTGTGAAGTGTAGGGCCTGCTCTCTCTGGGAGAATATTCTGGTAGTGTGAAGTGTAGGGCCTGCTCTCTCTGGGATAATTGTCACACTCTGGCTCCGGGACTTGTATTTGAGCCAGGGTGTATTCGTTTTGTTGGGGTTTGTTTTGGTTAGGTTGGGAATAGGGTGTGTTTATTTGGGTGTGTGTGGTTTTGGTTAGTTCTTGTGTAGTCATGTGACTCCCAATCAGAGGTAACGAGTGTCAGCTGTCGGCTCGTTATCTCTGATTGGGAGCCATATTTAATCTGTATGTTTTCCTTTGGGTGTTGTGGGTTTTTGTTCCATGTTCTGTCAGTGTTGCAGAGGACTTCACGAATCGTTCTTGTTTTGTTGTTTTGTTCCAGACTTTGATTTAATAAAGTCATGTTCGCTCAACGCGCTGCGCTTTGGTCTACTCATTCGTCAGACGATCGTGACAGAAAAACCCACCAATCTAGGACCAAGCGGCGTGTCAAGCGGCAACAGGATCCACCTACAAAGGATTCATGGACATGGGAGGAGATACTGGATGGAAAGGGTCCTTGGGCACAACCGGGAGAATATCGCCGTCCTCGTGAAGAGCTGGAGGCAGCTAAAGCCGAGAGGAGGCAATATGAGGAGGCAGCACGGAGGCAAGGCTGGAAGCCCGTGAGCACTAGCCAAAAATTTCTTGGGGGGGGCCTTAAAGGGAGTGTGGCGAGGTCAGGTAGGAGACCTGCGCCTACTCCCTGTACTTACCGTGGAGAGCGAGAGTACGGGCAGACACCGTGTTACGCAGTAGAGCGCATGGTGTCTCCTGTACGCGTGCATAGCCCGGTTCGGTACATTCCAGCTCCACGTATCGGCCGGGCTAGATTGAGCGTTGAGCCGGATGTCATGAAGCCGGCCCAACGCATCAGGCCACCAGTGCGTCTCCTCGGGCCGGCTTACATGGCACCAGCCTTACGCATGGTGTCCCCGGTTCGCCTACATAGCCCGGTGCGGGTTATTCCTTCTTCCCGTACTGGTCGGGCGACGGGAGTATACAACCAGGTAAGGTTTGGGCAGGCTCAGTGCTCAAGGGAGCCAGTACGCCTGCACGGTCCGGTATTTCCAGCGCCACCTCCCCGCTCCAGCCCAGTACCACCAGTGCCTACACCAACGCACCAAGCCTCCTGTGTGTCCCCAGAGTCCTGTGTGTCCTGTTGCTGCTCCCCGCACTAGCCCTGAGATGCGTGTCCTCAGCCCGGGACCACCAGTTCCGGCACCACGCACTAGGCCTTATGTGCGTCCCCAGGGTCCAGCATGCCCTGTTGCTGCTCCCCGCACTAGCCCTGAGATGCGTGTCCTCAGCCCGGGACCACCAGTTCCGGCACCACGCACTAGGCCTTATGTGCGTCCCCAGGGTCCAGCATGCCCTGTTGCTACTCCCCCGCACTAGCCCTGAGATGCGTGTCCTCAGCCCGGGACCACCAGTTCCGGCACCACGCACTAGGCCTTATGTGCGTCCCCAGGGTCCAGCATGCCCTGTTGCTACTCCCCGCACTAGCCCCTGAGATGCGTGTCCTCAGCCCGGGACCACCAGTTCCGGCACCACGCACTAGGCCTTATGTTGCGTCCCCAGGGTCCAGCATGCCCTGTTGCTACTCCCCGCACTAGCCCTGAGATGCGTGTCCTCAACCCGGGACCAACCAGTTCCGGCAACCACGCACCAGGCCTATAGTGCGTCTCGGCCGGCCCAGAGTCCTGCCGTCTGCCCAACGGCGCCTGAACTGCCCGTCTGCCCAACGGCGCCTGAACTGCCCGTCTGCCCAACGCCGTCTAAGCCGCCCGTCTGCCATGAGCCTTCAGAGCCGTCCGCCAGACCGGAGCCGCTAGAGCCTTCCGCCAGACAGGAGCAGCCGAAGCCTTTCCGCCAGACAGGAGCAGCCAGAGCCTTCCGCCAGACAGGATCAGCCATAGCCTTCCGCCAGACAGGACCAGCCAGAGCCTTCAGCCAGCCATGAGCAGCCAGATCCGTCAGCCAGCCATGAGCAGCCAGATCCGTCAGCCAGCCATGAGCAGCCAGATCCGTCAGCCAGCCATGAGCAGCCAGATCCGTCAGCCAGCCATGAGCAGCCAGATCCGTCAGCCAGCCATGAGCAGCCAGATCCGTCAGCCAGCCATGAGCAGCCAGATCCGTCAGCCAGCCCATGAGCAGCCAGATCCGTCAGCCAGCCATGAGCCGTCCAGCCGGGATCCGCCAGAGCCGTCTAGCCGGGATCCGCCAGAGCCGTCCAGCCGGGATCCGCCAGAGCCGTCCAGCCGGGATCCGCCAGCCAGCCAGGATCCGCCAGCCAGCCAGGATCCGCCATTCAGTCCGGTGCTGCCCCTTAATCCGGGTGGGTTAAGTTGGAGGGTGGTCAGTTGGAGGAGGCTACGGAAGCGGGTAGTGACTATGGTGGGGTGGGGGACCACGACCAGAGCCAGAACCACCGCCGAAGAGGTATGCCCACCCAGCCATCCCTTGGTTAGCCCTAGTTGAGGCGCGGTCGCAGTCCGCGCCTTTAGGGGGGGGTACTGTCACACTCTGGCTCCGGGACTTGTATTTGAGCCAGGGTGTATTCGTTTTGTTGGGGTTTGTTTTGGTTAGGTTGGGAATAGGGTGTGTTTATTTGGGTGTGTGTGGTTTTGGTTAGTTCTTGTGTAGTCATGTGACTCCCAATCGGAGGTAACGAGTGTCAGCTGTCGGCTCGTTATCTCTGATTGGGAGCCATATTTAATCTGTATGTTTTCCTTTGGGTGTTGTGGGTTTTTTGTTCCATGTTCTGTCAGTGTTGCAGAGGACTTCACGAATCGTTCTTGTTTTGTTGTTTTGTTCCAGACTTTGATTTAATAAAGTAATGTTCGCTCAACGCGCTGCGCTTTGGTCTACTCATTCGTCAGACGATCGTGACAATAATATTCTGGTAGTGTGAAGTGTAGGGCCTGCTCTCTCTGGGAGAATATTCTGGGCCTTTCTGTTGTGCTCTCGTCACTCTTTTCTACCCAAGCCGTGCCATCCCTGCCAGACTCCTGTCTCACCGTGGCAGTTGGGATCACCGTCTCAGTTGGCCCTGTTATGGTTTTTCTGCGGCGAGGCTCAGGCATTGGAGGCAGAGGCTCGAAGTCAACATCAGAATCAGATGATTTCAAGCTCAATATCTGATCTTCCATCCGACTCCAGCTCATCTAAATTCTGCAGCATTTGCAATGCTGTCAGTGCGTCCATTTGTTTGGGGGCATATTTTTTGGGGCCTGTGGCAGTTCTAGAAATCGGATCATTTCCGTTCCTATTTTGACAGGTTGTTAGATGAAACAGCTTACATTCTGAATGCTAGGCTACCATCTCAGTTGTCTCTGGAATAAAAATGGTATTGAGCCGCTAATGTAAAGTAACTGTCCATAAAAATATTTATACACACTACCAGTCAAAAGTTTGGACACAGCTACTCATTCCAGGGTTTTTCTTTATTTTTTAAACTATTTTCTACATTGTGGAATAACAGTGAAGACATCAAAACTATGAAATAACACATATGGAATCATGTAGTAACTAAAAGAAGTGTTAAAGAAATCAAAATATGTTATATTTTAGATTCTTCAAAGTATCCACCCTTTGCCTTGATGACAGCTTTGCACACTCTTGGCACACTCTTTCCCAAAATAATTTATCATAATTTATCGCAGATTTATCATTATCGCAAGAAATTAGTCAATTTATGGTGATATGGCTTTATATTGCCCAGCTCTTTCCCCCTTCTGATAACCAGGTGGCGAATCGCATCTCTGCATGTCTGGCAGACATATCAGTATGGATGATGGATCACCACCTCAAGCTGAACCTTGGCAAGACGGAGCTGCTCTTCCTCCCGGGGAAGGACTGCCCGTTCCATGATCTCGCCATCACGGTTGACAACTCCGTTGTGTCCTCCTCCCAGAGTGCGAAGAGCCTTGGCGTGACCCTGGACAACACCCTGTCGTTCTCCGCTAACATCAAGGCGGTGACCCGATCCTGCAGGTTCATGCTCTACAACATTGGGAGAGTACGACCCTGCCTTACACAGGAAGCGGCACAGGTCCTAATCTAGGCACTTGTCATCTCCCGTCTGGATTACTGCAACTCGCTGTTGGCTGGGCTCCCTGCCTGTGCCATTAAACCCCTACAACTCATCCAGAATGCCGCAGCCCGTCTGGTGTTCAACCTTCCCAAGTTCTCTCACGTCACCCCCCGCTCCTCCGCACACTCCACTGGCTTCCAGTTGAAGCTCGCATCTGTTACAAGACCATGGTGCTTGCCTATGGAGCTGTGAGGGGAACGGCACCTCCGTACCTTCAGGCTCTGATCAGTCCCTACACCCAAACGAGGGCATTGCGTTCATCCACCTCTGGCCTGCTGGCCCCCCTACCTCTGCGGAAGCACAGTTCCCGCTCAGCCCAGTCAAAACTGTTCGCTGCTCTGGCACCCCAATGGTGGAACAAGCTCCCTCACGACGCCAGGACAGCGGAGTCACTCACCACCTTCCGGAGACATTTGAAACCCCACCTCTTTAAGGAATACCTGGGATAGGATACAGTAATCCTTCTACCCCTCCCCCCCCTAAAAAAAATAAAATAAAATAAAATAAAAAATTATATATATATATATTGTAAAGTGGTTATCCCACTGGCTATAGGGTGAATGCACCAATTTGTAAGTCGCTCTGGATAAGAGCGTCTGCTAAATGACGTAAATGTAAATGTAAATGTAGATAAGGTGATACTGATGAGTTGGGCAAAGAGGAGACAAATTTGAGGAGAAAAGGGGGTTGAGGTCAGACCATCAGACTGAAGCATAAAGGAAAGGCTGGATGGAAAGTAAAGGGTTTGTAAAGGATGACATAGTTACCATTCTGAGTGGTGCCAGGATGAGGATGACATAACGGACTTCACAGCAGTTCTGTCCCCAGTTCTGAGGCCGCTCCAGACGAGAGATACAGACATGACGTCTTTGGAGACTTTTCACATTGCAGCTGGAACACAGATAACACATCATACAGAGGTTATAACACATCACACAGGTTATAACACATCATACAGAGGTTCTAACATATCATACAGAGGTTCTAACACATCATACCGAGGTTATAAACACATCACACAGATTATAACGCATCATACCCGAGGTTATAACACATCATGCAAATGTTATAACATATCATGCAGAGGTTATAACACATCACACAGGTTATAACACATAATACAGGTTATAACACATAATCTTCAAAAGCAGGCTATTTGGGTGGTCCCCGTCTCCGAAGTGCAGAGTGTTTGGTGCAGCCGGTACCTCTTAGTTCCCAAGAGCGATGGAATGTTGCGCCCCATCCCGAACTTGCATGTTTTAAACAAGCACCTCAAGGTTTGCAAGTTCAAAATGCTCACACTTCACCGGCTATTGCAGTCGGTAGGCCCCAGCGATTGGTACGCGTCCATGGATCTGAACGATGTGTATTTTCATGTGGCTATACATCCTCCCCACAGAAAGTTTAGGAGGTTTCATTTCGAGGGTGTGGCCTATGAGTTTCTGGTCCTGCCTTTCAGGCTCTCCCTATCGCACCTTTTCTATGGAGGTGGAGGCGGCTTTGGTACTGGTGCGGTGCCAGTGGATCAGAGTATTGGCCTATCTGGATGATTGGCTGGTCATAGCAGGTGGAGCTCCACACTGTCACGCTGGTTTCCATATTCAGTCTCTGGGGTTCATAGTGATTCAAAAAAATAGTTGTTTGACTTCCGGCTCAGCGCATTTAGTTTCTGGGTCTCGTTCTGGACTCGGTTCTGAATCATGCATTTTTGGCCCAACAGAGGAGGGTCCCATTCTAGGTCTGTCTGGTACGGTTCCTCTATGATAGCTGTGGTGCCTCTGGGACTTCTGTTGATGTGTCTGCTTCAGCGCTGGCTGATTGCTACACGTCTAGACGCATCTCGCCACTGCCATCGGTTGCTCAAGGTATCCCTGCCGTGCCGAAGGGCGTTGACTCCTTGGAGAGACCCCGTCACTGCTGTTGCATACCTCGAACATGATTACGACTATACAGAAGAAGGTTGTATACATATAAGTAGAGAGTTGGTGTCAGGTTAAAGGACTTTTCTTACAAGAGCTTTTTGAGCAGGGCCTTTGTTTTTCCACAGTGAAAGTACATATGGCAGCCATGCTCTGTGTGAGCCTCCGTTTGAACCAATGGAGTCCATGGACCTGAAGGTCCTTTCCTACAATACTGCCCTGCTCATGGCCTTGGCATCGACAAAGCACGCTGGGGATCTCCACGCGCTTTCAGGACACCCTTCCTGTTTGGAGTTCGCGCCTGGCGACTCCAAGGTGGTGTTACGTTTTTGCTCCCAAGGTTACGCCTGTGTCTTACAGGTCCCTATATCTAACAGGTCCATATATATTACAGTTCCCTATATATTACAGGTCCCTATATATTACAGGTCCCTATATATTACAGGTCCCTATATATTACAGGTCCCTATATCTAACAGGTCCCTATATATTACAGGTCCCTATATATTACAGGTCCCTATATATTACAGGTCCCTATATATTACAGGTCCCTATATATTACAGGTCCCTATATATTACAGGTCCCTATATCTAACAGGTCCCTATATCTAACAGGTCCCTATATCTAACAGGTCCCTATATATTACAGGTCCCTGTGTCTAACAGGTCCCTATATATTACAGGTCCCTATATCTAACAGGTCCCTATATATTACAGGTCCCTATATATTACAGGTCCCTATATATTACAGGTCCCTATATATTACAGGTCCCTATATATTACAGGTCCCTATATATTACAGGTCCCTATATATTACAGGTCCCTATATCTAACAGGTCCCTGTATATTACAGGTCCCTATATATTACAGGTCCCTGTGTCTAACAGGTCCCTATATATTACAGGTCCCTATATATTACAGGTCCCTATATCTAACAGGTCCCTATATATTACAGGTCCCTATATATTACAGGTCCCTATATCTAACAGGTCCCTATATATTACAGGTCCCTGTGTCTAACAGGTCCCTATATATTACAGGTCCCTATATATTACAGGTCCCTATATATTACAGGTCCCTATATCTAACAGGTCCCTATATATTACAGGTCCCTATATATTACAGGTCCCTGTGTCTTACAGGTCCCTATATATTACAGGTCCCTATATATTACAGGTCCCTGTGTCTAACAGGTCCCTATATATTACAGGTCCCTATATATTACAGGTCCTATATATTACAGGTCCCTATATCTAACAGGTCCCTATATATTACAGGTCCCTATATCTAACAGGTCCCTATATATTACAGGTCCCTGTGTCTAACGGGTCCCTATATATTACAGGTCCCTATATATTACAGGTCCCTATATATTACAGGTCCCTATATCTAACAGGTCCCTATATCTAACAGGTCCCTATATATTACAGGTCCCTATATCTAACAGGTCCCTATATCTAACAGGTCCCTATATATTACAGGTCCCTGTGTCTAACAGGTCCCTATATATTACAGGTCCCTATATATTACAGGTCCCTATATCTAACAGGTCCCTATATATTACAGGTCCCTATATCTAACAGGTCCCTATATATTACAGGTCCCTATATATTACAGGTCCCTATATATTACAGGTCCCTATATATTACAGGTCCCTATATCTAACAGGTCCCTATATATTACAGGTCCCTATATATTAACAGGTCCCTATATATTACAGGTCCCTATATATTACAGTCCCCTATATCTAACAGGTCCCTATATATTACAGGTCCCTATATATTACAGGTCCCTATATATTACAGGTCCCTAATATCTAACAGGTCCCTATATATTACAGGTCCCTGTGTCTAAACAGGTCCCTATATATTACAGGTCCCTATATATTACAGGTCCCTATATTACAGGTCCCTATATCTAACAGGTCCCTATATATTACAGGTCCCTATATCTAACAGTCCCTATATATTACAGGTCCCCTATATATTACAGGTCCCTATATATTACAGGTCCCTATATATTACAGGTCCCTATATCTAACAGGTCCCTATACATTACAGGTCCCTATATATTACAGGTCCCTATATATTACAGGTCCCTATATATTACAGGTCCCTATATCTAACAGGTCCCTATATATTACAGGTCCCTATATATTACAGGTCCCTATATATTACAGGTCCCTATATCTAACAGGTCCCTATATATTACAGGTCCCTGTGTCTAACAGGTCCCTATATATTACAGGTCCCTATATATTACAGGTCCCTATATATTACAGGTCCCTATATATTACAGGTCCCTATATATTACAGGTCCCTATATATTACAGGTCGCTATATATTACAGGTCCCTATATCTAACAGGTCCCTGTGTCTAACAGGTCCCTATATATTACAGGTCCCTATATCTAACAGGTCCCTGTGTCTAACAGGTCCCTATGTCTAACAGGTCCCTATATCTAACAGGTCCCTATATCTAACAGGTCCCTATATCTAACAGGTCCCTATGTCTTACAGGTCCCTATATCTAACAGGTCCCTATATATTATAGGTCCCTGTGTCTTACAGGTCCCTGTGTCTAACAGGTCCCTATATATTACAGGTCCCTATGTCTAACAGGTCCCTATATATTACAGGTCCCTATATATTACAGGTCCCTATATCTTACAGGTCCCTATATCTAACAGGTCCCTATGTCTAACAGGTCCCTATATCTAACAGGTCCCTATATATTACAGGTCCCTATATATTACAGGTCCCTATGTCTTACAGGTCCCTGTGTCTAACAGGTCCCTATATATTACAGGTCCCTATATATTACAGGTCCCTATATATTACAGGTCCCTATATATTACAGGTCCCTATATATTACAGGTCCCTATGTCTAACAGGTCCCTATATCTAACAGGTCCCTATATATTATAGGTCCCTATATATTACAGGTCCCTATATATTACAGGTCCCTGTGTCTTACAGGTCCCTATATCTAACAGGTCCCTATATATTACAGGTCCCTGTGTCTAACAGGTCCCTGTGTCTAACAGGTCCCTATATATTACAGGTCCCTATATATTACAGGTCCCTATATATTACAGGTCCCTATATATTACAGGTCCCTATATATTACAGGTCCCTATATATTACAGGTCCCTATATATTACAGGTCCCTGTGTCTAACAGGTCCCTATATATTACAGGTCCCTATATATTACAGGTCCCTATATATTACAGGTCCCTATATCTAACAGGTCCCTATATATTACAGGTCCCTATATCTAACAGGTCCCTATATATTACAGGTCCCTATATATTACAGGTCCCTATATATTACAGGTCCCTGTGTCTAACAGTCCCTATATATTACAGGTCCCTATATATTACAGGTCCCTATATATTACAGGTCCCTATATATTACAGGTCCCTATATATTACAGGTCCCTGTGTCTAACAGGTCCCTATATATTACAGGTCCCTATATATTACAGGTCCCTATGTATTACAGGTCCCTATATCTAACAGGTCCCTATATATTACAGGTCCCTATATATTACAGTCCCTTATATTACAGGTCCCTATATCTAACAGGTCCCTGTGTCTAACAGGTTCCCTATATATTACAAGGTCCCTATATCTAACAGGTCCCTATATATTACAGGTCCCTATATATTACAGGTCCCTATATATTACAGGTCCCTATATATTACAGGTCCCTATATATTACAGGTCCCTATATCTAACAGGTCCCTGTGTCTAACAGGTCCCTATATCTAACAGGTCCCTATGTCTAACAGGTCCCTATATATTACAGGTCCCTATATATTACAGGTCCCTATATATTACAGGTCCCTATATATTACAGGTCCCTATATATTACAGGTTCCCTATATATTACAGGTCCCTATATATTACAGGTCCCCTATATCTAACAGGTCCCTATATATTACAGGTCCCTATATATTACAGGTCCCTATATATTACAGGTCCCGATATATTACAGGTCCCTATATATTACAGGTCCCTATATATTACAGGTCCCTATATATTACAGGTCCCTATATCTAACAGGTCCCTATATATTACAGGTCCCTATATATTACAGGTCCCTATATATTACAGGTCCCTATATATTACAGGTCCCTGTGTCTAACAGGTCCCTATATATTACAGGTCCCTATATATTACAGGTCCCTATATATTACAGGTCCCTATATCTAACAGGTCCCTGTGTCTAACAGGTCCCTATATATTACAGGTCACTATATCTAACAGGTCCCTATATATTACAGGTCCCTATATATTACAGGTCCCTATATATTACAGGTCCCTATATATTACAGGTCCCTATATATTACAGGTCCCTATATATTACAGGTCCTATATATTACAGTCCCTATATATTACAGGTCCCTATATCTAACAGGTCCCTATATATTACAGGTCCCTATATATTACAGGTCCCTATATATTACAGGTCCCTATATATTACAGGTCCCTATATATTACAGGTCCCTATATCTAACAGGTCCCTATATATTACAGGTCCCTATATATTACAGGTCCCTATATATTACAGGTCCCTATATATTACAGGTCCCTATATATTACAGGTCCCTATATATTACAGGTCCCTGTGTCTAACAGGTCCCTATATATTACAGGTCCCTATATATTACAGGTCCCTATATATTACAGGTCCCTATATATTACAGGTCCCTATATCTAACAGGTCCCTATATATTACAGGTCCCTGTGTCTTACAGGTCCCTATATCTAACAGGTCCCTATATATTACAGGTCCCTATATATTACAGGTCCCTGTGTCTTACAGGTCCCTATATCTAACAGGTCCCTATATATTACAGGTCCCTATATATTACAGGTCCCTATATATTACAGGTCCCTATTTATTACAGGTCCCTATATATTACAGGTCCCTATATCTAACAGGTCCCTATATATTACAGGTCCCTATGTCTAACAGGTCCCTATATCTAACAGGTCCCTATATCTAACAGGTCCCTGTGTCTAACAGGTCCCTGTGTCTAACATGTCCCTATATCTAACAGGTCCCTATATATTACAGGTCCCTATGTCTTACAGGTCCCTATATATTACAGGTCCCTATATATTACAGGTCCCTATATATTACAGGTCCCTATATATTACAGGTCCCTATATATTACAGGTCCCTATATCTAACAGGTCCCTATATATTACAGGTCCCTGTGTCTTACAGGTCCCTATATCTAACAGGTCCCTATATATTACAGGTCCCTATATATTACAGGTCCCTGTGTCTTACAGGTCCCTATATCTAACAGGTCCCTATATATTACAGGTCCCTATATATTACAGGTCCCTATATATTACAGGTCCCTATATATTACAGGTCCCTGTGTCTAACAGGTCCCTATATCTAACAGGTCCCTATATATTACAGGTCCCTATATATTACAGGTCCCTATATCTAACAGGTCCCTATATATTACAGGTCCCTATATATTACAGGTCCCTATATATTACAGGTCCCTATATATTACAGGTCCCTATATATTACATGTCCCTATATATTACAGGTCCCTATATCTAACAGGTCCCTATATATTACAGTTCCCTATATATTACAGGTCCCTGTGTCTAACAGGTCCCTATATCTAACAGGTCCCTATATCTAACAGGTCCCTATATCTAACAGGTCCCTATATATTACAGGTCCCTATATATTACAGGTCCCTGTGTCTTACAGGTCCCTGTGTCTAACAGGAAATTGTTACAAATTAATTACAAATGAAAAGCTGAAATGTCTTGAGTCAATAAGTATTCAACCCCTTTGTTATGGTAAGCCTAAATACGTTCAGGAGTAAAACATTTGCTGAACAAATCACATAATAAGTTGCATGGACTCACTCTCTGTGCAATAATAGTGTTTAACATGATTGTTGAATGACTACCTCATCTCTGTACCCCATGCATACAATTATCTGTAAGGTCCCTCAGTCGAGCAGTGAATTTCAAACACAGATTAAACCACAAAGACCAGGGAGATTTTCCAATGCCTCGCAAAGAAGGGCACCTATTGGTAGATTAGTAAAAACAAAAAGCAGACATTGAATATATGGTGAAGTTATTAATTACACTTTGGATGGTGTATCAATACACCCAGTCACTACAAAGATACAGGCGTCCTTCCTAACTCAGTTGCTGGAGAGGAAGTAAACTGCTCAGGGATTTCACCATGAGGCCATGGTGACTAAAACATGTAACAAGAGTTATGGCTGTGATAGGAGAAAACTGAGGATGGATCAACAACATTGTAGTTACTCCACAATACTAACCTAAATGACAGAGTGATAAAAAGAATAAAAATATTCCAAAACATACATCCTGTTTGCAACAAGGCACTAAAGTAATACTGAAAAAAATGTGGCAAAGAAATGAACTTTTTGTCCTGAATACAGAGTATTATGTTTAGGGCAAATCCAACACAACACATCCCTGAGTACCACTATTTTCAAGCATGTTGGTGGCTGCGTTATGCTATGGGTATACTTTTAATTGTTAAGGAGTTATTCAGGATAAAAAAGAAACGGAATGGAGCTAAGCACAGGGAAAATCCTAGAGGAAAACCTGGTTCAGTCTGCTTTCCACCAGACACTGGGAGATGAATTCACCTTTCAGTAGGACAATAACCTAAAACACAAGGCCAAATCTACAATGGAGTTGCTTACCAAGAAGACAGTGAATGTTCCTGAGTGGCAGAGTTACAGTTTTGATTTAAATCTACTTGAAAATCTATGGCAAGACTTGAAAATGGTTGTCTAGCAATGATCAACAACCAATTTGACAGAGCTTGAAGAATTTTGAAAAGAATAATGGGCAAATGTTGCACAATCCAGGAGTGGAAAGCTCTTAGAGACTTACCCAGAAAGACTCACAGCTGTAATCGCTGCCAAAGGTGATTCATCAAAGTATTGACTTGGGTGTGAATTCTTATGTAAATGAGGTATGTGTGTAGTTCATTTTCAATAAATTAGCACAATTTTCTAAAAACATGTTTTCACTTTGTCATTATAGGGTATTGTATGTAGATGGATGATAAAAAAAATCTACTTAATCCATTTTGAATTCAGGCTGTAACAATAAAATGTTGAATAATTAAGGGTGTAGGAGGATCTGTATCTCTCCTAAAGGACAATCACACTGAGCTGATTTGCTGTTTTTTTTCTAACAAAAAAAAAAAAAAAAAAAAAAAAAAAACATTTGTTCAGAAAACGTAGGGGGCCGAATAAAATCACCCTCGGGCCGCCAGTTGGGGAACCTTACAGGATACACAGCCAGGACTGTTGGTACTGGATCCCAGTGGTGGTGGCTGTCACTCCCTGGATAGTCTCCGATACCAGGTGGACTGCAGGGGGGACAGACAAGGGGGACAGACAGGGGGGACAGACAGGGGGGACAGACAGGGGGGGGACAGACAGGGGGGACAGACAGAGGGGACAGACAGGGGGGGACAGACAGGGGGGACAGACAGGGGGGACAGACAGGGGGGGACAACAGGGGGGACAGACAGGGGGTACAGACAGGGGGGGGACAGCAGGGGGACAGACAGGGGGGCCAAAAGGGGGACAGACAAAGGGAACAGGGGGGACAACAAAGGGGGAGACAGGGGGGACAACAGGGGGGACAGACAAAGGGGGGACAGACAGAGGGGACAGACAGGGGGGACAGACAAGGGGGGGCAGACAAAGGGGGGACAACAGGGGGGGGCCCAAGGGGAAAAAGGGGCGGGGGGGGCGGGACGGGGGGGACAGACAGGGGGGGCGGGGGGAAAGGGGGTTGGGGGGGGTTTGAGGATTGTGGGGGTGTTTTTCCCTTTAAAAACCCACCCCCCAAAAACACACCACCACCCACCACCAACGCACACCACCCACCACACAAAAACCCCCGCACACCACAACACAATGCCCAGGAAATTTTGAAATGAAAGTTTTTAAAATACAAAAACAAATAATGAAAACAGTTTTAAAACCAAAGCCTTGTTAAAAACCAAAGGGGACTGGCGGAGGGGTTTCCCAAATGGCACCCCAGTAATAAAAGGTCTAAACACAATCCTTATCCCTCCCCCCTCCCCCCCCGGATCCTTCCCCCCCCCCCTTACCCCCTCCCTCCCCTCCCCCTAACCCCCTCCCCCCCCTTTGGGCCCTTTTATCCCCTCCCCCCTGTGATCCCTCCCTCCCCCTTTTTCCCCCTCCCTCCCTCGCCCTATACCCCTCCCTCCTCCCCCCTTTCCCTCCCTCCTCGCCCGGGTATCCCTCCCGCCCCCCCCTGTCCCCCCTCCCCGCCCTTTTATCCCTCCCTCCCCCCCTTTCGCCGGGTTTCCCTCCCCCCTCGCCCTATATCCCTCCCCCCCCGCCCCCCTATATCCCCCCCCCTCCCCCTTTTAAAACCCCTCCCTCCCCGCCCTGTATCCCCCCCGCCCCTTTTTTCCCCCCTAAAAGCCCTCCCCTTTTTTTTCGCCCAATACCCCCCCCTCCTTGGGCCCTGTACCCCTCCCCCCCCCCTTTCGCCCTGAAATCCTCCCCCCCGGGGGGGCCGGGGGGTTAATCCCTTTCCCCCCTCGCCCGGGTATTCCTTTCCCCCCCCCGCCCTAATCCCTCCCCCCCTCGCCCTATATCCCCCCCCCCTCCCCGCCCAAATCCCTCCCTCCCTCCCCCCCTTTTATCCCCCCCTCCGTTTCCCCTTTAACCCCTTTCCCTCCTTCGCCCTATATCCCCCCCCTCCCTCCCCCGGGTACCCTCCCTCCCTCCGCCCTGTCCCCGGCCCCCCCCCGCCCTAATCCCCCCCTCCCGCCCCCCCATACCCCTTTCCCCCCTTTCCCCCCAGGATCCCCCCCTCCCCCCTCCCCCGACCCTTATCCCCCCTCCCCGCCCGGTACCCCCTCCCTCCCTCGCCCTGTACCCCTCCCTCCCCCCCCCGGGGTTCCCCCCTCCCGCCCTGTTCCCCCCTCCCCCCCCGGGGCCCTCCCTCCCCCCTGGGCCCTTTTTATCCCCCCCTCCCCCTTCCCCCCATACCCCTCCCTCCCCTGCCCTAACCCTCCCCCCCCGCCCTATTCCCCCCCCCGCCCGTATCCCCCCCTCCACGCCCTATTTTTCCCCCCCTCCTTCCCCCTTTAATTTCCCTCCCCCCCTTAAACCCCTTGTATCCCTCCCTCCCCCCCCTCGCCCTTTTTTATCCCTCCCTCCCTCCCCGGACCCCTCCCTCCCTGGGCCCTGTTTTTTCCCCTTTCCCCCTCGCCCTTTACCCCTCCCTCCCTCCCCCATTTTCCCTCCCTCCCCCCGCCCAAAATATCCCCCCCCTCCCTCGCCCTATTCCCCCCCCCCTCCCCCCTTTACCCTCCCCCCTCGCCCTATACCCTCCCTCCCGCCCTAAAACCCTCCCCCCTTTCGCCCTATACCCCTCCCCCCTTTTCGCCCTATATCCCCCCCTCCCTCCCCGGGTTTTCCCTCCCCCCCTCGCCCTTTTATCCCTCCCTCCCCGCCCTATACCCCTTTCCCCCCTCACCCAAATTCCCTCCCCCCTTCGCCCTGTACCCCCTCCCCCCTTTCCCTCGCCCTTTTATCCCTCCCCCCCTGCCCTGTTTTCCCTTTCCCTCCCTCCCCCTGTACACTCACTCCCCTCCCCCTGTACCCATCCCCCCTCGCCCTATATCCCCCCCCCTTTCCCGCCCTTTTCCCCCCCCCCTCCCCATTCCCCCCTCCTTCGCCCTATATCCCTCCCTCCCTCGCCCTATCCTCCCCTCCCCCCCTCCTAGCCTTATCCCTCCCCCCCTCGCCCTGTATCCCTCCCTCCCTCGCCCTGTATCCCTCCCTCCCTCGCCCTGTATCCCTCCCTCCTCGCCCTATACCCCCCCTCCTCCCTTCCCCTTATCCCCCCCCTCCCTCCCCCTGTTCCCCCCTCCCTCCCTCCCCCTTATCCCTCCCCCCCTCGCCCTTATCCCTCCCCCTCCCCAACCCCTTCCCTATCCCCCCTCCTTGCCTTATCCCCCCCCTCCCCCCTCGCCCTGTATCCCTCCCTCCCTCCCTTCCCCTATCCCCTTTTCCCTCCTTCGCCCTATATCCCTCCCTCCCTCGCCCTATATCCCTCCCTCCTTCGCCCTATATCCCTCCCCTTCGCCCTATATCCCTCCCTCCTTCGCCCTATATCCCGCCCTCCTTCGCCCTTATTCCCTCCCCCCCTAATCCCTCCCTCCTTCGCCGTTATCCCCCCTCCCTCGCCCTGTACCCCTTCCCTCCCTCGCCCTGTTCCCTTTCCCTCCCCCCGCCCTTATCCCCCTCCTTCCCCTTCCCCCTCCTTCGCCTTACCCCCTCCCCTCCCTCCCCTGTTCCCCTCCCTCCGGCCTGCCCTCCCTCCCCTGTAATCCCTCCTCCCCCTTCCCTCCCCCCCTCCTCGCCCTATATCCCTCCCTCCTTGCCCTATATCCTCCCCCCCTTCGCCCTGTATCCCTCCCTCCTTCCCCTGTACCCTCCCTCCTCCCCCTTTAATCACTCCCTCCCTCCCCTGTATCCCTCCCCCCCTCGCCTATTTTCCCCCCCCTCCCTCGCCCTTCCCCTCCCCCCTTTGCCCTTCCCTCCCTCCCCGCCCTGTATCCCTCCCTCCCTACCCTCCCCCTTCCCATACCCTCCCTCCCGCCGCTCCCTCCCCCCTTTCCCCCTCCCTTTCCCTCCCTCTCCCCTATATCCCTCCCTCCTCGCCCTGTATCCCCCCCTCCCCCATCCCCCCCGCCCTGTACCCTCCCCCCCCGTCGCCCTGTATTCCTCCTTCCCTCCTCCCCCCGCCCTTTTCCCCCTCCCCTCCCTCGCCCTTATCCCTCCCTCCCCCCTCCCTATACCCTCCCTCCTTGCCCTATACCCCTCCCTCCCTCGCCCTTATCCCTCCCCCTTCGCCCTATATCCCTCCTCAACCTTTCCCCTTTTATCCCTCCCTCCCTCGCATGTATCCCCCTCCCTCCTCGCCCTGTAATCCCTCCCTCCCTATCCTCCCTCCCCTATTCCCTCCCCCCCCTTTCCCCCTAATAATCCCTCCCTCCTTCGCCACTTATCCCTCCCTCCCATATCCCCCCTCCTCGCCCAATCCCTTCGCCCTGTATCCCTCCCTCCCTCGCCCTGTATCCCTCCCCCCCTTCGCCTGTATCCCCCCTCCCTCCGCCCTTTTTCCCTCTCCCTTTTCCCTCCCTCTCCCCTATATCCCTCCCTCCTTTGCCCTTACCCTCCCTCCCTCGCCCTGTATCCCTCCCTCCTCCCAAACCCCTTTCCCCCGCCCTGTATCCCTCCCTCCCTCCCCTCCGCCTACCCTATCCTCCCTTCCCTCCCTCCAGCCCTGTATCCCCCCCTCCCTCGCCCTTATCCCCCCCCTCCCTCCCCTAATCCCTCCCCCCCTTGCCCCTGATCCCTCCCCCCCCTCGCCCTATCCCTCCCTTCCCCTCCCCCCCCTGTATCCCTCCCCCCTCCCTGAACCCTAACCCCCCTCCCCTCCTTCGCCCTATATCCCTCCGACCTTCGCCCTGTATCCCTCCCCCCCTCCCTCGCCCTGTTTTCCCTCCCTCCCTCGCCCTGTATCCCCCCCCCCTTTCGCCCTATATCCCTCCCTCCTTCCCCTGTATCCCTCACTCCCCGCCCCCTGTACCCCCTTCCCTCCCTCGCCCTGTATCCCTCCCTCCCTCGCCCTGTATCCCTCCCTCCCTCGCCCTATATCCCTCCCTCCCTCGCCCTGTATCCCCCCCTCCCTCCCCATACCCCTCCCTCCCTCACCCTATATCCCTCCCCTCCTTCGCCATGTATCCCTCCCTCCCCCCCTTTCGCCCCTTATCCCCCCCCATTCCCTCCCCCCCTGTATCCCTCCCTCCCAACGCCTTATCCTCACTCCCCTCGCCCTGTATCCCTCCCTCCCTCGCCCTATATCCCTCCCTCCTTCGCCCTATATCCCTCCCTCCCTCGCCCTATATCCCGCTCCCTCCTTCGCCCTATATCCCTCCCTCCTTCGCCCTATTCCCCCTCCCCCCTCGCCGGGATCCCTCCTCCTCGCCCTGTACCCTCCCTCCTCACCCTATATCCCTCCCCCTTCGCCTTATATCCCCCCTCCTTACCCCCTGAAACCCTCCCCCCTCGCCCTTTTATCCCTCCCCCCTCGCCCTGATCCCCCCCCCCCCCTCGCCCTGTTTTCCCCCCCCTCCCCCCCCGCCCATATCCCTCCCTCCCTCGCCCTATATCCCTCCCTCCCTCGCCCTATATCCCTCCCTCCCTCACCCTGAAATCCCTCCCTCCTTCGCCCTGTATCCCTCCCTCCCCTCCCCCTCCCTCGCCCTAATCCCTCCCTCCCTCGCCCTATATCCCCCCTCTTCGCCCTGTATCCCTCCCTCCCCTTCCCCCTGTAATCCCTCCCCCCCTTAGCCCTGTATCCCTCCCTCCCTCGCCATATATCCCTCCCTCCCTCGCCCTAATCCCTCCCTCCTGGCCCTAAAACCTCCCTCCCTCGCCCTATTTCTCCCCCCCTCCCCTTTCCCCCCCTTTCCCTCCCCCCCTCCCTCGCCCGGTATCCCTCCCTCCCCCTCCCTCCCTGTACCTCCCTCCCTCCCTCCCTCACCCTGTATCCCTCCCTCCCTCCCCTGTATCCCTCCCTCCCTCGCCTATATCCCCTCCCTCCCTCACCCTATCCCTCCCCCCTCGCCCTATACCCCCCCTCCTTCGCCCTGATTCCCCCCCCCCTCCCCTCGCCCTATATCCCTCCCCCCCCCTCCTCCCCCTCGCCCTATATCCCTCCCCCCCCTCCCCAAATTACCCTCCTCCCTCGCCCTTATCCCCTCCCCCTCGCCCTAATCCCCCCTCCCTCGCCCTATATCCCCTTCCCTCCTCCTATACCCTCCCTCCTTCCCCTATATCCCTCCCTCCTCGCCCTGTATCCCTCCCTTCCTCCCCTTTCCCTCCCTCCCTCGCCCTGTATCCCTCCCCCTTCCCCGCCCTATATCCCTCCCTCCTTCGCCCTTATCCCTCCCTCCCTCCCCCTGATCCCTCCCCCCCGCCCTGTTTTCCCCTCCCTCCCTCCCCCCAAATATCCCTCCCCCCCCTTTCGCCCTATCCTTCCCCCCCTCGCTTTTATCCCTCCCCCCTTTTCGCCCATATCCCCCCCCACCTTCGCCCTTTCCCCCCCCCCCCTCCTTCCCCCTGTACCCTCCCTCCCTCCCCCTGTACCCCTTTCCCCCCTCGCCCTGTACCCCTCCCCCCCCGCCCTATATCCCCCCCTTTTCCTTCGCCCTATATCCCTCCCTCCTTCGCCCCTGAAATCACTCCCCCCCCTTGCCCTTTTATCCCCCCCCCCTCGCCCATATCCCCCCCCCTCCCCCCCCTTACCCCTTTCCCCCCTTTTCCCCTATTCCCTCCCCCCTCGCCCTGTATCCCTCGCTCCCTCCCCCCTTTTAAATCCCTCGCTCCCCCCGCCCCCTAAAATCCCCTCCCCCCTTTCGCCCTTTTCCCCCTCCCTCCCTCGCCCTATATCCCTCCCTCCTTCGCCCTGTATCCCTCCCTCCCTCCTTCCCCATGTACCCCATCCTCCCTCCGCCATATCCCCCCCCCAAATTCCCTCCCCCTAATCCCCCCCCTCCCCCTATACCCAACCCCTCCCCCCGCCTATCCCTCCCCCCCTCCCCCCCCAAAAATCCCCCCCCCCTCCCCCCACCCTATATCCCCCCCTTCCCCCCATAATTCCCCCTCCCTCCCCCCCATATCCCTCCTTCCCCCCTATATCCCCCCCCCCCAATAATCCCCTTCACTTACTCCCTCCCCAATATTCTCCCCCCTCCAACCCCTTCCCTCCCCCCATTACCCTTTCCTCCCCCTTATGGGTAAAATAAAGAAGGGGGGAGGGAAGATTGGAGGGAGGGGGGAAAGAGATGGGAGGGAGGGGAGGAGAGAGGGGAGAGGGAGAGAGATAGACAGAGAAAGAGAGAGAGAGGGAAAATTCTAATGCCAAACATGGATCATCATTATATTACACCTGTCTGTCAGTTTATCAGATTTCAAAACACGTCTCCCTCCATCCATCACAATCTCTGTTGTAACCTGTCATTACACTGTTGTAACCTGTCATTACACTGTTATAAACTATCATATAGACTGTTATAAACTATCATATAGACTGTCATAACCTGTCATTAGACTGTTATGAACTATCATATAGACTGTCATAACCTGTCATTAGACTGTTATAAACTATCATATAGACTTAATAGAGAGCTGTACAAGGTTATGATTAGGATAGAGCTGCTCACTGTTATCCTCTGAGCTCCAGCTTCAGTGATCAACATGCTCCTGACCTGTCAATAACCTGCCATTAGAATTCTATAACCTGACATAGGGACCTCATATAGACCTCATATAGAGCTCCTTACCGTTAACCTCCTGAGTTCCTGCGTCGGTGAACAACATGCTCATAACCTCCTCAAAATTGCATCCTGGCTCTGCCGCGTGGCTGTCCATGCCCCACGTGATGCAACATCCTCTTCAGAACGTCATCTAGCGCCGCCGCCGTTTCGTCCAATAGGATGCTAGCTCTGGCCAGGAAGCCGTCCAGGTCACGATACGCCCGCACCTCCTCCTCAAAGTTCATCAGCTTCACATACTGGGAGGGAAAGATTGTGGAGGTGGTTAGTTACACACAGGCTTCACTCACCTTCTTCATGGATTGGAACAGTCATTTATCTGAGGCACTGCTGATGCGCACTTTGAAGATGCTAAAACTGTTTCTGACAACCCCATAGTAGAATAGTTCATCTATTTGTCTAGTTGGCTTGTTGTTGTGTGTTTTGTGCGAGATAACTATTCCTAGAGGCACATTCAAGTTACGATGGGGAGAGAAACATGCATCCTGAAAAGCAGTTAATGCACAGCGGGGGAAATCAGCAGTTTTAATGATTTTGTTAAAAAGATCATTCCTATACTTTATTTATTTCTCAACTCCTAAATATGATATATATATGAACTGATACACACCTACTCATTGCAGGGTTTTTCTCTATTTTTACTATTTTCTACATTGTAGAATAATAGTGAAGACATCAAAACTATGAAATAACACATATGGAATCATGTAGTAACCAAAAAAGTGTTAAACAAATCAAAATATGGTTACCTGGTTAAATAAAGGTGAAATAAGAAGAAAATAAAAAAAATTGGACACTGTGTTAACAAACCTCCAAATGAGCTTCAACGCCATACAACACTCCTTAAGTAGCCTCCAACTGCTCTTAAACACTAGTAAAACTAAATGCATGCTCTTCAATCGAACGCTGCTTGTACCCGCCCGCCCGACTAGAATCACTACTCTCGGCGGGTCTGACTTAGAATATGTGGACAACTACAAATACCTAGGTGTCTGGTTAGACCGTAAACTCTCCTTCCAGACTCACATTAAGCATCTCCAATCCAAAGTTAAATCTAGAATCGGCTTCCTATTTCGCAACAAAGCCTCCTTCACTCATGCTGCCAAACATTTCCTCGTAAAACTGACTATCCTACCGATCCTTGACTTCGGCGATGTCATTTACTAAATAGCCTCCAACACTCTACTCAGCAAATTGGATGTAGTCTATCACAGTGCCATCCGTTTTGTCACCAAAGCCCCATACACTACCCACCATTGTGACCTGTACGCTCTTGTTGGCTGGCCCTCACTACATGTTCGTCGCCAAACCCACTGGCTCCAGGTCATCTATAAATCACTGCTAGGCAAATCCCCACCTTATCTTAGCTCATTGGTCACCATAGCAACACCCACCCGTAGTATGCGCTCCAGCAGGTATATCTCACTGGTCATCCCCAAAGCCAACACCTCCTTTGGCCGCCATTCCTTCCAGTTCTCTGCTGCTAATGACTGGAACGAACTGCAAAAATCTCTGAAGCTGGAGACTCTTATCTCCCTCACTAACTTTAAGCATCAGTTGTCAGAGCAGCTTACCGATCACTGCACCTGTACACAGCCCATCTGTAATTAGCCCACCCAACTACCTCATCCCCATATTGTTATTTATTTTGTTATTTATTTTGCTCATTTGCACCCCAGTATCTCTATTTGCACATCATCTCTGCACATCTATCACTCTAGTGTTAATACTAAATTATAATTGTAATTATTTTGCACTATGGCCTATTTATTGCCTTACCTCCATAACTTGCTACATTTGCACACACTGTATATATATTTTCTGTTGTATTTTTGACTTTATGTTTTGTTTTACCCCATATGTAACTCTGTGTTGTTGTTTTTATCACACTGCTTTGCTTTATCTTGGCCAGGTCGCAGTTGTAAATGAGAACTTGTTCTCAACTGGTTCTCAACTGGCTTACCTGGTTAAATAAAAGTGGAAAAAATATATATATATATTTTTTAAAAGCCAGAGTTTTTAGCAGCAGCATGGTTAAGCATGTGTGAGTGCATAGGGGAGAGTGGAGCTGAATGTAACACGGGTAGGGTAACTTGAGGTAAAACACTACTTAGGGTTGTGGCAGTCTGACATTTTGTCAGCCGGTTATTGTCAATGACTGCCGGTCTCACGGTAATTGATTGTTAATTAACATAAACATGTTTAGCATCTCCAAACCACACACAAACCACTGATGCTCGCCTTTCGAACATCTAGATTTAAAAAAGTCTAATAAATCCATTATTTATTTTAGTCAGGTCTAAAGAAACATTATGATATGAAGAAAATGTATTTCAGAAGAACAGAATATGAGTTGGCCTACTGTATGTTATCTGGCTATGCTCCATGCCATAGGCTGTTGGCTTTTTCATTTAGCAGACAAGATACGCTTATAAGTCCCGTGTCATTATTTTACATGATATGATTTTATAGTAAGAAGAATATAATTGAACTGAATAAAATAGAAAGGATATTTCCCCCATTCAGTAACAAGTGAAGTGGCTATGTTGAGTGTAAAAGTGATCATTGATTTGAAACAGGTCCTATACACTAGATTTAGTTGCATGATGTGACTATAGGCTATTGATGATTGGAAAAGTCTCTGTTCTGTTCCTTACCTCAGGCCGCACCCCCTGTTCTCTCATCAAATGATCATATTTTCACCCATCAGACTATTCTCAATTTAATCTTGTGTTTATAATATGTAAAAGTAGTTTAGATTTAGAATGGTCCATTATCAAATGGGCAGGAACAGGGGAGAAAAGACATGCCTCCAATAGCGAATGGAGGCCGCTTTCCCACAGTTTACATCATGGGGTAGGCTACTCCGGTTTTATAGAGGAGCAGCTGAGAAATAAATATGGTAGCAGCTGGGATCCTCCTCTTTTTAGTGGCTTTCATTTCATCAAGGGATTACATATAGAAATGTCTGGGTTTATAAGAACACTTATTTCACACCAAGCATCAGTCGCCCCCAGGTGGTAAGGGTAGGCAACAACACATCTGCCACACTGATCCTCAACAGGGGGGCCCCTCAGGGGTGCGTGCTTAGTCCCCTCCTGTACTTCCTGTTCACCCATGACTTCGTGCCCACGCATGACTCCAACACCATCATTAAGTTTGCAGACGACACAATGGTGGTAGGCCTGATCACCGACAACGATGAAGCCTACAGAGAAGAGATCAGAGACCTGGCAGTGTGGTGCCAGGACAAACTCAACCTCAATTTGAGCAAGACAAAGGTGCTTATCGTGGACTACAGGAAACGGAGGGTCAAACACGCCCCCATTCACATCGACGGGGCTGTAGTGGACCGGGTCGAGAGCTTCAAGTTCCTTGGTGTCCACATCACTAACAAACTATCATGGTCCAAACACACCAAGACAGTCGTGAAGAGGGCACGACAAAGCCTATTCCCCCTCAGGAGACAGAAAAGATTTGACATGGGTCCTCAGATCCTCAAAACGTTGTACAGCTCCACCATTAAGAGTATCCTTACTGGTTGCATCACCGCTTTGTATGGCAACTTGTTAGCTAACCCTTCCCCTAACCCTAACCTTAACCCTTTTCGCTAACTCTTCATCTAACCTTAACCCTTTTAGCAAACCCTTCCCCGAACCCTAATCCTTTAATCTAACTCCTAAACTTAAACCTAACCTTAACCCTTAGCCTAGCTAACATTAGCAAGCTAATGTTAACCATCTAGCCACCTAGCTAGAATTTGTAACATATTGTACGTTTTGCAAGTACGTAACATATAACACGAATTGTGATTCGTAACATATCATACAAAATGGGTGATGGACATCCACAAATTAATACATACTATACGAAATGCTCTGAAACCAGGTTGTCCAACCATGTTCCTGCAGCTACATACCCAGAGTTTGATTTGGGAAACCAAGTGAAATCTGTTTGGGAACATCGACAGTAACATGTTTTCACAACTAAACATATTTAATTAAACTGTTGACAGCCTCTCTCTCTGCGTGCTGGAGAAAGGAATGAAGGAGAGAGAGAGGAGGAGATGGAAACTCAGTGGTGAGATAAAAGTGAGGGAAAAAAGTATTTGATCCCCTGCTGATTTTGTACGTTTGCCCACTGACAAAGACATGATCAGTCTATCAATTTATAAAATTTTTGACATGCGTTTTTCTGGATTTATTTGTTGTTATTCTGTCTCTCACTGTTCAAATAAACCTACCATTAAAATTATAGACTGATCATTTCTTTGTCAGTGGGCAAATGTACAAAATCAGCAGGGGATCAAATACTTTTTTCCCTCACTGTATTCTGTAGCTAAAAGGTAGTCAGCCTATTAATTATGAAAATATAAAAAATGCCCTATTACTAGGCTATTCAAAATTAAGGATAGAAAGTTTGGAGAGTATCATCATGAAAAGAAACTGGAAGCAGTTTGATATTCAGGGTTTTTTACATGATGTTTTTGACATTGCCTGGAATAGAATTCATCCCTGATGTTGAAACAGCCTTTTCTTATTTCATCAATGCATTCCAGGATGTACCCCTTTCAACCAATACTGAATGAAGGTCAGAGACAACCTCTGGTTCTCAGATGAACTAGCTGAAATCAAGAAGGTCTGATTCAGCTGATGATTGGATGGCTTTTGACCCAAAAGCTGAAAGCAGATCACTACCTCATATCTACTGCTGATAATCTGAAAAATCTTTCCAAATGTTGGCAAGTAGTGAATGGTTTAGAGTGCAAAAAATATACACAACTCCCTAAACAAGATACACAACTCCCTAAACAAGATACACAACTCCCTAAACAAGATACACAACTCCCTAAACAGCTGCTGGTAACTGAGGAAAACTCTATTTTGAATTCTTTCAATCAGCATTTTCTTGATGCAGGCGGATTATTTAATAGGGTTAAAGGTCAAAATTAGCCCCCTGTGAAGTTACATGATACCTGTAGGTGTTTATTACACCTTCACAGAAGGCAGGAATCGTGGTCACAGGCAGGCAAAGGTCATACACAGGTAGGCAAACAGGCAGGAGAATCATAAACTAGGACTGAAGGCTATAACTGGT